ACTTGGTAGCCCAGGCTGGCCTCGAACTCACAGAGATCCACCTGGCTCTGCCTCCCGAGTGCTGGGATTAAAGGCGTGCGCCACCACGCCCGGCAGCAGAGCAGTTTTTAACAGTTTTGCCACATTATTCAGGTTGCTCTGTAGTGTAAAACAGCCCATACTTCTGAAGCCCCCTGTACTGTTCGGATCACTTCCCCTCTAGCTGTCAGACTAGCTAGCCCCTTGCCTGAATTTGGTTTTGTACGTTGAACTTACTTGATTTGATTGACATTCTTTCCAGGAAAGATTCAAAGAACCTTGGAGATCGGTGGCACAAGGGGATCCCGATTGAGGTCATCCCAATGGCCTATGTCCCAGTGAGCCGAGCTGTGACCCAGAAGTTTGGGGGCGAGGTCGAACTTCGAATGGCTGTCAACAAGGCAGTAAGTGGCCAGGGAGGTTTCCCAGCATCCTGGCTCAGTGTGCTACTGTCACCCTTTCTGTAGCAGTTAGGCCCCTGAAGTCTGGGGGTGGTATGTGTGTTCACTCCCCACCCCCTCCACCCCGTATAGAAGGGGGTGTGGTTCTCCCTGACATTCCCAGGGCTCCCAGTGAGCAGCCTCTAAACACTCTTTTGGATGCTCTGTGGGGCAGAAGGTTTTTCAGGTTCCCTGGTATGATATTTCCCTCCTTTCTCATCCTTTTTGAGGCTATCTGTGTATGAGTACAACTCTCATCTCAAAGAGCATAAGAAGTAGTTTACTTTAGAGCCAAATATGAGTAACCATGGTCTGGGAGTACAGGGTTAGGTTATTCCAAATCCTGCATTCCAGGGAGGTAATAGTTTTCAATTTGTACAGAGACAAAACAAAGAAGTTTACAAATGACACCTTTAAAATACATGGGAAACATCAGGTAGGTAGGCCACAGAAGAAAGGGGAGATCTTAGCTCTAGGCCTCAGCCCTGTCTGGTAGCATTCTTTGTTTTGTTTTATTTTTCTGTGTAGCCTTAGCTGTCCTGGAACTCTCTCTGTAGACCAGACTGGCCTTGAACTCAGAGATCCAGCTGCCTTTGCTTCCCCAATGCTGGGATTAAAGGCATGTACCACCACCGCCTGGCTGCTCCGTCCTTTTAAAGAGACACTGATGGAGAAGGTGTGATGTGTGAAGTCAGTACAGCCTTATTTTGTGGTTTTGGTGGTGTTTATGCTAAGCTTTGAGATGTTGGCGGTCATTTTGTTGGAGGCTTTCACTCTGTAAGTTGAAAGCTTCACTCCATTGGGCCTTTCCTGTTTGCATCTCTGTCCACCTTGTTGACACTTGAGAAACAGTAAGGTTTAGAGAAGCCAATGGCTCCTCTTAATCCCATACATATGTGGTGTTAAGACTTAAATCCAAGTTGCCAAAACTCCAAAGCGCATGCTCACTACTGCTTTACAGCACCACCTTGTAGGAAGCAGAGAGCAGGAGCGGAGCCCGTCAGTTAGGACGCCTGGCAGGTTGTCATCTTCCCTCTGCCTACCTGTGTTGTCATCCTTGGTCACTGGAAATTCTCTTCTAGGGGCCTGTGGTGACAGACAATGGGAATTTTATCCTGGACTGGAAGTTTGACCGTGTCCACAAATGGAGTGAAGTGAACACAGCCATCAAAATGACTCCAGGTAACCTGAGTGGTCTTCATAGTCACCCATCCTTCCATAGCTCCCCGCTCTTCTGGCCACAGGAGGCATGATGGACATGTACTGTGTAGGACCTAGTTTCCAAGAGCTCACCTTATACCATGTCTGGGGTTTTAACTTGAATCACCTCCTTCCCCTTGGCTTACGTAATAGTGTTGATATGTATGTATTTGATAGTCTGTTTCAATTGGGATAGTCCTGGAGCTGATGGAAAGCCAGAGGTGCTTGCTTTGAAATAAGGTCACCATCTCTGGGAGGGATCCTGCCCTCCTTTTCGGGGAGTTTGACTACAGCTTCTTTGACCTTTTTAGGGAAAAGTGGCTCAGTTCACCCACATTCACTGGTTATATGTCATAGGCAAGATGCGGTGACTGTGTATACATGGAATTGGTCTTAGATTAGAACTGATGTCAACCCAGGGAAGGCTGTGTGAAGCCAGCCTGCAAATACTGAAAGTGCTGATTCTGCTGGAGAAATAGCAAGAGTTTAGTTCACAGAGATTCCTTTTTTTTTTTTTT